CCGTGGCTCCTCTGGCCCCGCTCCAGCAGTTCAATGTCCTTCTTGCACTGGGGGGCCCAGCTTTGGGGCTCAGTGTGCTTTCCTGGCACACCAAAACACTGCTCTCTGCTCACTCACCAGGAAACCAAGGCTGTTCTCATCCTGAGCATCCGTGTCCTCATGATCCACCCAGTTCAGGTGCTGAGCCTCCCGAGCTCTGCCTCCCTCTTCTCGGCTGTGGAGCTCGCCCACGGCATTCCCACCTGCTGGCTCCCCAGCAAGGGCATTGTCTCCCCTCTCCGCACTGCCAGGAGGGTGTCTGCCATCTCCACCACCCAGGAGGTTGCCCAGCTTGTTGAAGTCATCTTTGCTAGCTGTGTCCTGGAAGCAAAACACGACACGGTTTAACTAAACGCTACGGCACGTTTACTGCCATTGCTGCAGGACAACGTATTGCTCCCAAGCCATGCACGTGCTCAAGTCTCATTCATTGATTGCAACCCCAGGCCTTCAGATGTTTTTGCTGATGCCAGAAAAGAGCAGCCACCAACAAAAGAGCAACCCAGAAAAGCCCAAACCCTGGTATTTCGGAGCACAGAAACTCCCTTTTCCAGCTCAACATGTCAAGGAAATTGGGAAGGTGCACAGGGAGCAAGGCAAAATGAGCTGAAACCAACCCAGCTTGAAAAGACAGAGCTCAAAGACCCGCAGAACTGACGTCCTCCCCCAGGTTCCCAGTCCGAGGATGCCTGCCTGGGGCTGACTCCCCATCACAGACTTGCTCGGCGAGCGGGTGCCACCAGCAGGACCAGGGCACCCCCCCAAGCTTACCTCCTGCCGGGTGCTGCGGCGGGGGCGGATGGGCTCGCGGCCAGGCACCTAAGGACATCCAGGAGACATCTCATCAGCAACCAGCCACTGAGTGGCACCCCTCAACTGGGGGAGACTGGCAGGGTTTGGGGTCTGAGGACCTGCACGGGGGGTACTTACGGGGCGGGCACAGGCTCCAGCGCAGAGGAGAAGCACCAGGAACACGGCCCTCATGTCGGTTGTGGTCCCTGTGGCTGCAACGGGGGAGCAAAGGGTTTGCACACCAGAGAAAAGTGTTTGTAAGTGTCCCACAAAACCCCTCTGACCAACACGGCCTCACCACCCCAGCACGCGGTGCCCAGCCTGGCAGGTCATCAGACGCATCAAGGATTTGTCCTTGTGCCACCTCCTGGCATCTCCACTGTTTGGGATTTGAAACACCTGGCCATGTCCTCACAGACTTGTTGTCTGAGCATCATTAAAGAATCATAGAACCACAGAATCATAGAACAGTCTGAGTTGGAAGGGACCGTGGAGGTCACCCAGTCCAACCCCCCTGCACTGAGCAGGGACACCTTCCACTAGCCCAGGTTGCCCAGAGCCCCATCCAACCTGGCCTTGAATGTTTCCAGGGACGGGGCATCTCCCACCTCCCTGGGCTACCTGGGCCAGTGTTTCACCACCCTCAGTGTAAAATATTTCTTCCTTGAAGAGTGTGAAAGCTCCTCTGGATTCCCTGTTCCCATGACGACGTCACCCACCACCCACCCAAGCTTGGTGGCCAACAATGGGAGCTGGGACCGTGGATGGGCAGCACGGCGAGACCACGGGCTGCAGAGCTGTGCCACCCACCCAGCATGGTCCCCACATCCCCGGCAACCTCCCACCGCCCCAAAAAATCTTACCCCAGTAAGATAATCCAGTGGAGAGCCACATCCCTGGGTCAGGGTGGCATCCTAGGGAAAACCTGCTCAGGAGCAGCATCACTCTACCAGAAAAGTGGTAGTGGCAGAAAGTGACAGCAACATCTCAGCTGGGGCAGGAGCAATGCCATCAGCTCCATGGGCAGCAGCGGAGCAGCTGGAGCAGTGAGAGGCTTTCCTCCAGCTCTGCTGGCATTTTTCAACTCCCTTAGGTAAGCAGCTGAGTGCCACGTCCCCACGGGGCTGCCTTACTGCTCTGTGCATCACCAGGCACTCGAAATGTGCTGGAGCAAAGAGCCACGCTCCCCATTGAAAGGACCACCTCCATCCCAGCTTACAAGCCTCTCTTGATTTCAGCCAAGGAAATCTACAGCCCCTCTCGCCAGCCGTTGCCATTTGCACTCGCAGCGATGCCAAAGCAACCCAATGAAACTAAAAAAACCTTTACCTTGAGGCGTGATGTGAGCTGGCATCTCCTCCAGCGCTTGGGACAAGCCAAGCCAGCTGCCTCTGATGGGATGCCCCAAGCTGTGTGTCCCGGTGTGGCAACGCGGGCATTTAACCGCTCGCCAGGGGGACAGCCAATGGCACCCCTGGGCAGCACAGCCACACGTGGAGGTGTCACCGGGAACCAGCCTCCCACGCTTCCTCCGGCCTCCGCCGGGACGCCGGCCCTAAAAAAGCTCCTTGTGGTTGGCAGGATGACGAGGCAGGCTGGCAGTTAATGACCGACTCCGCCGGCCCTGTGTTTTGGCTGCTAAATTTATCCCCTTCACACACTTCCCCCCATGACACACACACACAAACAACGACAGTGGTGCCCACGCCGAGCGCCGGACCCCATCCTGGGCACAGCATCCTCCTAAGCGGCGTGTGCCCCATGCCCTGGGCAGGGTGTCGGAACCCACGTGGGACTGGTCCCCTGCCAGGACACTGCCTCCCCCCTGTGCCACAGGGCAGGAGCACGAAACACCATGCTGCAAGGAGGGGGGATGCCTATTTTTGTGCCCACCTAAGGACGCACACACTCATGCAAGGGAGAAAGGAAAAAAGGAATGAAAGTGCGGAGGGAGGGTCCCACAGGGTCCCACCCCCCGCGCAGAGGGACCACAGCATCCCCAGATGTTCTTCCAGTTGCTGGCCAGGGGATGAAACCTCTGTGCTGGAGCTGCTCAAGCTGGGCTGGAGGTGCTGCTTTGTAGGGGAAGGAATTGGGAGCGTGGCTCTTTGCTCCAGCACATTTTGAGCACATGGTGATGCGCAGAGCAGCAAGTGTGTCCTGTGGGAATGTGGCACTTGCTGCTTACCTAAGGGGTTTGGAAGACAGGCAACAACACGTAGACGTGTGTATGGGCATGAATATGCATGGCCATGTGTATGCAATTCTATATGTGAATAGATACACGTGCAGCACACGTACCCCAGGGATTCTTGGTGCCGCATGGATTATCTGCTGCAAACAGCATCATATGCTGGCAGTGCAGAGAGCCTCTGCTCGCGCCCACGTAACACAAGAGGGGGTTTGCAAACCTCCATGTGCGTGCACATGCACACACTTTGACACGCTGCGACCGCAGTGGTTGGGTTTAGCACAGCACCGGCCGTGCACCGCTGTGGTCCTGCCCTGGCCGGGGCAGAAGGAAGCCGACTTCCTCGCCTCTATTTGGCTGCTGTAAACCTTCCGTGCCCGCAACACCCCCTCGCTGCTAATAAAAACACGCTGTGCGTGCAAATAGGTTGCTTTGAAGCAGGCGACGCATCCCTGCTCTGCCAGCCGGTGTGTCCCCACGGCCAAGCCGCAGGGATGGGCACGGCCACGGGGCAAGGGGGCCAGCAGTGGGGTGCCTACTGGGCTACGGAGGGTTTTACTGGGGGGGAAGGGTAAATGACTGCATTCATGCTCTGCGAGGAGTGTCGGCACGTTCTCCCCAGCTGCGTTTCTGCTGCTTTGGGTAGAAGAAAGAGGCCTTCAGATGATGGCCGGGGGGGTCCAGCCCTGCGCTGCGGAGCCGCCTGGCAGGGGAAGCACAGGAAATACGGGCTCCTTGCCCGCCCTGCTGTAAAACCCCGGCAAACCCTCACCTGCCATGGTCCCGTGGTGCAGACACACACATTCCCAGTATCAATCCCTTGCTCTACAATGGGCTTTGGAATTTTGCCATCATTTGGTCGATCAGTCATGCTTTTCTTCTCTTTTTTTGGAATCTTATCTTGAAAATAATGCAGCAACCCTACGTGTCGTTCCTGACTGAACATAAGAGAGCATCCCTCGTGCCACTGCTGCTCAGTGTGTTGCGTGAGGATGAAATTTAGACCGCATCTCGAGATGGAAGCTCCTTTTTTTCTGTTTGATTGTGTTTAACGTGTGGTTCTGGGTATCCGTACATCAAGAACAAAACACTCTGCCAAACACTGCCGGCATCTGTGCATTGGCTTCCAGTGCCAGTCTTGTTTATTCTTTGACCTGATTGTAGAAGCCCCTCGAAGCCCGTCAACCACAGCTCACCTTCAGCAGCAAACCTGCTGTAAAACCCCGGCAAACCCTCACCTGCAATGGCCCCTTGGTGCCAACACACACATTCCCTGAGGTGCCAGCACAGCCCGGGGGACACAGCAAGGGCTGCGGGTTTGCAGAGATTCCCAGGAGATGCTGACACTGTGAAGCAAGTGACTTCAGGAAACTTGAGCAGTATTGAGCCAGGACTCTGTCAACTGCAGCTTATCTGGATTTGCCTGGGATGTCTCATCCAGAAAAGATTCCCCGTGTTGTGACACTGCCCCAGCATGACAGAGCCTCTTATGAAGCCACACATCTCTGCTTCATCCCATCCTCCAGCGTCTCCTGCCTTTCTCCCCATCACCACCAGCCAGGGGACCCTGCATGCCTGCCCTGCGCGGGCTGTGCAAGGACCGCACGGGTGCCCAGTGCCAGGAGCATCTTCTTTCTTCTTCCTCATGCCACCTGGTGCCTCCCAGTCCCTCTGTTCTCCCTGCAGCCCTTCAACCTCCAGACAGGCACTGTCTCGCACCTTCAGCAGATGTTTTCCCTTTTCTTCCCTCCCCAACCCCTGCTGCAGATACCGTGGGATGTATTTTCCTCTCGACCTGCAACAAAATTATACCCCTGTCCCTGGTTAGATATGAGTTCACGTTGCCAACCTTTTTTAGGCACCTCCAACAATTTTCATGGGTTGGTTTTTTGTTTCTTTTTTTTTTTTTTGTCTCGCACCTTCAGCAGATGTTTTCCCTTTTCTTCCCTCCCCAACCCCTGCTGCAGATACCGTGGGATGTATTTTCCTCTCGACCTGCAACAAAATTATACCCCTGTCCCTGGTTAGATATGAGTTCACGTTGCCAACCTTTTTTAGGCACCTCCAACAATTTTCATGGGTTGGTTTTTTGTTTCTTTTTTTTTTTTTTTTTTTTTACTGCATTTAACTCAGCCCCCAAAGACCTGGTGCTGCCTCTCGTCCAAGTGCCGCAGTGCGAGAAGGGGATAAACACCGAGCTCTGGGGACCGGTCACTTGCTGCCCCGCCGGCCACCTCCCTCTGCTCCAGCGGCCTCGGAGCACCCGTGGCACCAGCACCCAGTGCTGGGACCCGGCCTGACCCCAGTCCCCACAACCTCTGCTACCCCTGGATCAAAAAACTAAGGTGTCTTCCCCCAAATCTCATCCCAGGAGCATCCCACAGCATCAGCCAGGCTGCCTTTGTTTTGCAAGGAAAGGAAACCCTGGCCAACACACTGTAACCTTATAATAAGCTTTAAAAAATTTTTTTTAAAAATTTAGGATTATTGTTGTTTCACCAGAGGTGAGAAATGGGCTGGGGATGGGGGAAGCAGCTGTCTGACCAGCATTTTAGATGCCATCATGTTTTCCTAAGTCCCGTAACATCCTCCTCTCATGAGATGCTCAGGCTCCCGCAATGGCTGGAATGGGAAGCAGTGGGACAAGGACGATGGGGGAAACCTGGCTGGGCTAAAAGCAGCACCCTCAGGCTGCCAGGGAGGAGGCGGCAGAGCCAGAGACAAGAGGACTGGCAGGGCTGGGAAGAAGATGCAGGAATGTCACTTTTCTGTTTGACAGGTCGGATGGTGTGGTGTTCATGAGGACAGAAAAGATGCGAGCACAGACAGCAGGAGGGATTGGAGACGTCAAACCCAAGAGAGAAGTTGGCACAGTAGGGAGCAGGCTGACAGTGGAGGCAAATAACAGCTGCTCTCCTATAATTGAGATGTCTTAGCATTGAAAACTCAAGAAAATAATATTTTTCCAAAATAACCCTCACAGTTCCCTCTTTTTTTTTCA